TTGCTTCTTCGAGACACAGTATAAATAGTGAAAAGAATTGTGATAAACAAATTGGATTGAAGACAATTTTCTCTGTTCATATTATACCAAATAAGAATAATGTGGCAGAAAGTATATCCACTTCGAATTTAGAATATTTGTTTAACTTTCTCATAATTTACTATTGATATTTTAAACCTTTTAATGCATCTGTTCACAGTCGATATGACGTTATATTATATAACTCTCTAGTGTTAAATGTAAAATTCCAACCAATTCGCAATCTCTGTTTATCCCAGTAACCTATTCCTTATAGAATAGTTTTTACTGGAGAACAAGTAAAAATCAAATCGTCTCTAGAAAAGTCCATAAGCTCTTTCAGGAACACTATTTGCTGAATTATCGTCATTCTCCCTTGAATCTCTGTTCTACATACTTTCTCAGTGTACAGAGTGACCACTGAGAAATTTTTGTGGTATTATTTCAATAGCAAGAAAAATGCGATAGAAAGAGGTATCGCCTTAGCTAAGCATCATTTGATGCACGCTTTTAATTATATTCATTTTGGTAAATAAAACTTAAATAAGGTTATATTTTATTGGTAATTCGATGATTAACTACGGTCTCTGACCTTGTGAAAAACACTTCTATATTAAAAGCACTAGAGTATTGTAACATCAATGACTCATTTGGAAATTTCTGACTTGCGGTTGGAGTTTCCCAGCTCATTTCACACACACAACGAATAACAAACATAGGTTGTCAAATATATGTTGTTTTTACTCTTCGTATTTTACAAACGGTCAAAATTATTGTCTGTTCGCATATCACTTTGACTCAGCGATTAAGTGGAAGTTCAGTGACCAACTTTCACCTTTGTTGGTAGACGTTAAGGACGTCAATGAAAATTTTCAAATTAAATAGTCAGAACATTAAACGACATTATTTTGTCTGAACAGCTCTATTTTTTTTTTGTCAAGGTATAACGAAATGAAATAATTTTTCTTTTCTTTGGATGCATTTTGTTTTGATAAAGTTATTCTTTTTCTATCAAGTTTTGCATTCTTTACAAACATAAATAAACTGCACACGTCATAATCTTTTTTATTATAGAACGAATTTCTCATTTTTACGTCCAAAAAAATTGTAAAACAGAAAATTCTTGATACACTGTGATTTGTATGTTCAACAACGTCTAAAGAGTATTAAATTGTCTATCAGCATATAAATATACGTTTCAAGTGAGTAATTAAATATGTTTCTGAGTTGATCTTAACAATGGTGACCATGCGTCCATTAAGGGGTATCACAACAGTAAAAAGTCATTTTTCATAAAAATAATTGCCGTTTTTTTATTACATAAAGTAGTAGCTCTGGTGTGTAGTAAACGACGCGGCAAGAGTCCTTTGGAAAAGCAGATGTCTGGGCGTTTTGAGCTAGATTTCAAAATATGAAATATTTTATTATAGACTATGTAAACCTCATTTTAAAAAATTCATAACTCCAAAGTTTAACATAAGGACTTGGAAATTTCAGGGGACATACTGTTTTGCATTATAACAGGTCCAGAATAAATATTCCTCTCAGTATTTTCCCTTTATCTCTTGTTCCTTCAGTCCGCTAGAGATTGTTTGTTAAAAAAGATGGCGTCAAAATGGCAAACTTATAGCCTATGAAAAGCTCTTGCTTTTAGTTATACTTCAAATTTTTATACATTAAGTCCAATCTTCAATAAAAACTTTTCTTCGTTTTTGAGTCCCATTACATTACGAATTTTGCTGCGCTGGATTTTGTTTGCTCTGTATGTTTGAGGCTCACTGGCGGATTTACAGAAAAGCGGTAGGAGTGATGCTTCCCTCTTCTGAATTTCTCGACGGAAAACCGCTCTTAGAGTACCTTCTTTTTGGTTAAAGTCTGCTGTCCGAAGTCTTTAGGAAAAAACGAAAATTGATACCACCTTTGAAGACGTTGAGAAAACTGAAATTCTTATTACCTTGGAGGACTTGAAAAAAATTCTGCTTTCCCTTAAAAAATCCTGGATTAACCGTTGTTGAGGCTTTCAACAAAACTCGTATGACTCGGTTAAGAATGAAACTTTTGAGATCGGATTTGTTTAACTTTTATGAGAAACGATCAGTCAGTAGAATGGTCAAAAGTTGAGCAAGTTTTTTGTTTCTCACCTGGTGACGGAAAAATAGTCAGATTTGAACTTTTGTGACTTTGGAGTGCGTACTGAAATTCTGGAGTAATCTGGATCGAATTTGACGGAGTTATGAATTTTTAAGTTTTCGCTGAAAACAGTCACAAATGGATTATTTCACCTATTATACGTTTCTGCTAGGTTCTTGAATTTTCTTCTGAAAAGAAACACTTAACACAAGACTCAGCGTGGTCGAAAACCTATGTCTGGAGACCTTTTAAGGTTATCAGAGCTCATCACATTGACATAGGAAGATTCGGGCAAAATGGCATCCATGAGCCACAGAAGCTAGAGAGGTCAGACCTACGCAGAGTGATACAGGGCACGCTGGGCTATAGACTACATGTTTTAAACATAGAAGTCTCTAGAGAGAGTCAAAGAGCAAGGATCTCTTCTGTCAAAGACTCGCCAAGTACACTACCTTCAGCTTGTCCAAACAACTTTATTGTTCTATGGATATCTCTCCTCAGGTCTTCTCTACCCAATGGTGAAAATCGCAAATCTCTATCTCATTTCTACCAAAAACGATTAAAAAAACAATGTAGTGGACTATACTTTTGCACGAATAGTAGCTTTTCTCGTTCAAGTTTTCACGGCGTTTAACTTTAAAGGAAAATAAAATAAAAAAAAGTAAGAATAAAAAATCCACTTCCTAGATCGGACGAGATTGAGTACTCTTGATTGTAACCTATATTCACATTTCTAACTCGAAATCTGAAAAAAACTTTTCCTAATACTAGAAGAATATATTTGCCCCTGTTTCTTTATAATTAGAAAGCCAGAAATAATTTTGCAAGCATCAGCAGTTTAATCACTTAAATTTATTTAGTCGGAACGTTTAATACAAATGGTAAAGTATTTGAACTAACAGTGTTTGTGCTATACTATTTTGCTTTTTATTCTAAATTGTAAGGAAAAAGTGATTAGGAGACTAGTCTTCGTTATATTTCCTGGTGTTAGGCCAAAACTGCTGTTGTATGAGACTATTGAAGTCTGTGTATAATAATGTCTTCAACTTCATGTTAGCAACTGAGTAATGTTCTTACTTTTATTTCAATAAAATAAAGTAAATGGCAGTTTTCCTTAATCGAGTCATTATCACATACAACAAAAATAACTATAAACAGTGGAAGTGAAGAGAAAACGTAATACTTCTCGTCTAAAGATATGCAGGGCAGCTAATTGTTGGGTTCTTCTACAGATCGCTCATACCTATGAAATTTCTTGAATCGTGCTCACTTTCCGGTGTGGCATGTAGTTTATTCCCTTGACTTTGGCCTAGGGTCTTATGATTACAAAATGCTATTGCTTTAGTTGCGCCTCTTAACCAATCGTATTCCTTTTTTCTTGTCGCTACCAACAAGTGTTGTGCTGTATTGTTCGATGGCAGCAAAATTGTTTTAGAAAAGACCTATGCTCTGTTCAACTCTACGAACTTTGAGACCTAGTCCTGTCAAGCTCGACCTGCGCATCTCCATCTTCGCCTATACCTTATAGAAAACAAAAATTTTATTAAGGTGCACCAAATTCAAACTTTCTACACCATTTTATTTTTGGCTTAATTATACATCATTCGATAGAGCTCAACTTGATCAAGAGTATCTTGGTCTTAACCTTATTCATACAAGTTTTCAGTGGAAAAAATGCAAAAAAGCTCAAAGGGTCTCATTTTTCGAAAAACGGTTAGTTTTCAGAAATTCAATATTTTCCCGTTCAGAGGTCTTTTCAACTTCTAAAAGTATATTTTTATACATCGCTTTTTTTTTTTCGTTTTGTTTTGTCATTAAGAAAATTCATTTTTTCTAAATCAGAAGCGAAAAAGTGGAAATTCTGCCCATAATTCGCAGTTTTCTCCACCAGAACTCCGTAACCAAAAAGAATTCTAAAAGATTTCTCAAAACCGTTTTTCTACTTGAAAACTTCATAATATACGATGTTTACGCTATTGTATATCCTATTCATAACAAATTTTAAAAAAAATAGAAAATCTTATGGTTTTTTGAAATGGTTTTTCTTTTACAGTGTGGTCTTAAACTTCTGCTCATTACTTAACGTTCAATTATCGGAATAGTGCTATCGAGTGCAGAATCACAAAGGAATAATTTAGAAATATTCTCTAATCATCTCTAATCATCACGCTAATCATCTCTAATCATCACTTCAAGAGTGATTTCATCAGCTTCAATCGGCAATACAGTGCCATTTTCCAGATAACTTCGAGATCTATCCCCAAATTCATTAAATTTTGGTCTAGACATTATTTGAAGAATTTAAAACCGCCGTCATATATCCATAGATGAGGTCGATAATAACAATTTTTGACGAAACGCAGTAAAGTGTCAGAAATTTTTCTCTATAATTATATAATATATAGCTAAGAAGTTAAAATTTTGTCAAACAATCTGCTAACTAGGACTACGAAAATAACATGTGTCTAAAAGATTGAAAATATATATCTACACAGGCAGTACGCATCTTAAAGTATAAAAAAGGCAAAACATAAAGTATACTGCATGGTGCAACAAGAGCAAAATTCAATGTAAATTAATAAATATGAGCATTTTTTCAAAAAAAGATGGTATTTAGGGTTTTGATCCCCAATCTTCTCTGATAGTTAACGTAGTATTTGACCGTAGTATTTGGAACTACCACTGGTAAACAATTTCGAAATCATACTTTTTTCTCCACTTTTTTAGCGGAAACAACGCTAAATTACTCAGGTTAAATAGCCACATCAAATTATTGAATAATATCTTCAGAACAAAAAGAGCTGATAAAAAGTTTCGATCATTTTGAACACTAGGATACAGTGTGAAGTATTATGCGTTCTGCGCCGTTTTCGTCAAAAATGGTGATACCGATCACAGCTAAAAAGTATGCCGGCGATTTTAACGTCTTCCAGTAATATCTAGCTCAGAATTTAATGGCTTTGTTTGAGAAAAAGTTTGAAATTTTTCAGGAAAGGATGTGTGTAAAATGGTTGATAATGACATTACCCTCTACGCTCCAAACATTATCTAGCACGCTGTTTGATAACTGATATTCTGCTTTAATGTAATACAATTTATTTATTTCTCTCTCTGCGACTAATATCATTCATTCTTCATTTGCTTTTTTAATGCAATGAAAAATTTAATTACTGTTAAATTTGAAACTATGCTTAGGAGAACGTAGCTAATTTGTTAAGATTTTCAAAGTCTTGGAGACAAAAAAAAAAAAACTAAGAATATTCTAAAGACACGACTAGATTTTAATCTTAAATGTACTCTCAGTTTACTTCTCCAGTGAGGTGATTCGATAAAGTCTGTCTCAATGTATACCCAGCTTTTATTGCATATGAGTTGAAACTCTATCTAAATGAGAGCTTCTTGAGTAGGATCAGCTAACTATCACATTGAAATTGTTTCACGATAGCGACATTATTACGATGCCGACAAACTGTAATACCGTTAAATCGTTTTCTTATTATGCCCGGATAAATCTCATTGAATCACGTAGAAAAATGTCACTTTTAACTGTTTCTAAAATGATTTTATAAGAGAAGATTAACAAATATTCAGTTGTTCAAAAATTGGTAAAACTGAGTGAGATTTTTAGAAATAAGCTCAATTTTCGCCTATTTGTTCATTTGATCATTCTGTTTTTATCAAAAGGAGTTTTTGAGCAGAAGTTGAGAGTTTTTCGTCCAACTGGAAGTTAATTAAGAAATTGAAATAGAGTTCATCCTTTTCATCAACTGACATATTTTGATAACACGATTTTATGTGATAGAAAGAAAAAATTAATCAACAGAATTGAAACATTTAAAACTATCAAACATAATGAAAAAACCTCTTAAAAAATCAGTTTGGAAATAATTAAAATTGACATTTTTCTACGTGATTCGATAAGATTTATCCAGGCATAATAAGAGAACGATTTGACTGTATTACAGTTTGTCGGCATCGTAATAATGTCGCTATCGTGAAACAATTTCAATGTGATAGTTAGTTGATCCTACTCAAGAAGCTCTCATTTAGATAGAGTTTCAACTCATATGCAATAAAAGCTGGGTATATACTGAGACAGACTTTATCGAATCGTCCATTAATTGATTCGACACTTAAAATATGGCAATGTACTGCGAGATGGTGCTTATACTATAAATAATACTATGTATATTTAGAATGAATCACCATTTTCAATTATACTTCCATCAATTTCAGCTCGGTAGGATCTATTCTGATGTGATGGACAAAAACTGCATTAAACATCTTCCTGCTTTATAGTATTGTATCATTTCAAATTAGTCAACCAACTACCGAATCGACTGCACCAAAAGATGCAATATTTCAATTCGTCTCGCAAGGAGAAGACGCCTTCTATCTCCAAGTATGTCAAATATGAGTCATACTCTCAATTTCTAATAGAGAGATAATCCAACGGGTATTTATAACTACGTTCTATTTTAGGTAAAAAAAACAAATTTGGAGTTATATTCTGTTCGATTTAAAATATTTTACAAATATAATGATGAATTTTATAAACATCCATATATGTTATGTTCAAACCCAAATGCTGTTACTAAAGATCAAGATGAAGTTTCGTTTAACATTAGTCAAAGTGGAAAGTAAGTTCATTTTAAGTGCTTCTGATCAGAAAAATTAATAACTTCTATGTAATTCATCCATTAGCATACCCATTAGGCTTTATCTGGTATTAAAACGTTTGCGCAACTTTAGCAGAGAAGATACAGAACGATATTATATTTCCATCGATCAAAACATCGGACTAAGTTCAGATTTTTCCGGTTCGTAGTTGAATTTTAATTAGCTCACTACTGTAAATTATATATCAATTATAGATTATCATGATTTGTATCTTCAAATGTCGTGTTATTATAATAGTAATAAAATTAGCGAGATATGGTTCAATTCTCAACAACCTATTGTACGTTGTAATTGAGATGAAAATTGAATCTTAATTTATGATTAATTATATATTTAGTTGCTTCCAAGATTGCTGTTAGATGGATGGAATTTTGATAACACATATCTAAGATTCAGGTATTACATAATACACTGAATAAATATTTTGTATTAAAAAAGCTCTATATTTAGATATGAAACTGAATTAAGAGATGCTACTTTTCCGTGTAAAATAAAGGTAATACATTCACACAATCAAACTTCTTAGGCGAGATATTAGTAGAACTTTTTGTTATTATAGCTGCGATGTAATGATTCCAATAATATTCAATCATATAGGATTGTTCTTTGTTTTACGAGTAACACCATACCAGCAAAAATGGATTTTTGTCTAATTAGATGGATACGAAAAATACTTGCTGGTACACTACATCAACATGTACATCCTCAACTCCTATTACCAAAAGATTTTTTAATAAAAGATACAAATCAAGAGGAAAAAGTTGTCAACTTGGGTCATTCAACTGGAGTTTTAATCGCCAACGTTGAAGGAACTGGATTAACATTCAGGTGAGAAAACAGAAGACGATACAAATCCTACATCATTTATCGAACTATCAATTTCGGTACCTTTAAAAAACCTCAAAACGGAGTAACAAAAGGTTGATTTTGTCCAATCATCTATTAGAATTATTGCTGCTTACTTATTTTACATCTTTCTTTTGTCACTTAAGTCCACGTTCAGGTGAGAGAAATGGCAATGTAAACGATCAAAGTATTGTCAAAACTTATGTGATTCCATCAGTGATCACGAAACATTCACCACCAAACGGCCGGTAAGATCTGTATTGTCTGTAAAAGAACGCTCATGTGCATTTATCATTTTAATTCGCAGAGATGAGCTAGCGATTTCAATGACTCCTGAAAATGACGTTCCTTCATTATTGAAACAAAGACGGAATGATCCATTGATCAGTCAGTATTTGCCGTTCGATGATCCTAAAAATATTCATATCGGTCAATCAGATAAAGTGATCAAAACACTTCTAAAACAGTGCAGTGAGTGTATTTCAGTTCTTGAACGGTTGAGATGTATTAAATCTTCTGAATTTAAATTTAGAAAAAGAAAGAGAGGATCAACTCAGTCCGAATCATACCATGTTTAGTCAAGCTCACATACGTTTATATGCTGCAGCTTACCACAATAACACATTAATATGTGAAGGCCTATATCCACCACTCAGAAATAGTAGTATGTAGTGTGTTTCTTTCTACGTAAAATCCATAATATGGACCGACTGTGTGGTTTTTTAGAAATATTTGAAATATTTCAAATTCTGAAACTAGTACAAGACAAAAAAGTTTTACGTGCAACAGAGCATGCTTTCCTCTATACAAATAATAAATTAGAACGTCCCGATCGGTAACCGTAACATCATTCTTTTACTAATCATTAATCAAATTAACTTCATTTTTTAGATGGGGTACAACGAACGGACAGTATATTGTTGATTTAGCATTTGACAACAGATATGATCCAGATTCTGCTATCACCGCATCTGAGGTACAGAAACTCTTCGTAAATAATGATAGAATATTATCGGTATGCGCTGAACGGGATCAGTCTTGTCATGTAAGAAACAAACAAATTATTTTTTTGGAATTGGGGATAAAGTTAAACATATCTGTACTTTTTTTAGCATTTACTCGAATTTCCAGTTCCTGTAGTTCCAGAATATCACGGAAAACGCGTATATCTTCGAATGAGACATTCAAGTTCAAAAGATTACAATCCAAGCGAACCAGCATTGACCGACGAATGTTTCATCTACCAATGCGATATGCCTGTTATTAGTACTTTGAACAGTATATTTAGGACAGATATAACGTGATAAATTATAGGTAATAGTGACTTTATATTTAGTTCAACCAACTACAATAACACATCATTCACAATTATTAAGTAGTAGTCCGATTATCGATGAAGTAATCACTCATACATCTTGTTTTCAACCAAGTAGCACTCATCATTATTCAAAGCGAAAAACTGACAGACTTCCAACTAGAAGAAAAAGTATAAAAAAATGACAAACATTTTCTTGTTCACAAACATTGTTCTTGTATTTTTCTAGGAAAGAAGGGTTCCCGATTTGAGTCAACAATAGTCGATCGTAAGTATTATTACAATTCTGATAGAAAAATATCATGTATTCATACATATACATATCTTTTAAATTTGAATCAAACTGATTATGTTTGCCCCTTTATAGATGAATAGGAAGAAAAAAGATTTTTGATAAGATGGACAAATATGATTCTCTTTTATACGGATGCGACGAATATGAAAATGTGAAAATTTGTAGTATAGTTTTCTGATGAAGTCCCAGTTTATAAAAAAAAGATTTCTCTATGTATCTGAGAATCGTTCTTTACGTGTAGAATGAGAATTATTAATATTCTATTCTTCTTGTGATAAGTTTTAATTTCTGATTAATTAAGAAAAATCGGTATTATATAGAGATTTGGAGAATGCTAATATTTATCTTTCTTTTGAATAGCTGAAGCCAAAGATTTGTTTCACACGCAACAGGTATGTAGCTTATCTTCAAATAATAGAACACAGATAACTAGATTGATCTTATCTTAACTGTATAAAGATCTAATCTTGTTTTATTATCATCACTTGTTGTTTTGCAGCAGCCACATCAAACATCCCATCAGTTGGTATATAATCTTTTTCCAAATCAACTGAACGACATGAATTCAACAACTGCCACATCTGGACCATCTTCATTGCTTTCATACCAACCATCTTATCCAAATCAAAATTTACAATACTATACAGTTAATAAGTTTTTAGTTTCTTATTGTCTTTTTTGATAAATTTTAATAATGCTTAGAATTATTCAGAAATAGTCAATATTCGATGTCCTCTACATCGAATATGATGAGCGCGATCATACCTGAATATAGAGTAGCTACAATATACTCTCCAAGTATTATAACACTTTTCTACATCTTTGTTTTAGGAACCACATTCCAATTTAACATTTAATTTCCAGTGTAATGATGTGAGTACAATTCATTCTGCTCAAGCAACGACTGCGTCAACTGATGCAATCCACACATCATTTGCATCGTGCCCACCATTCAGTAATGACATATATTCTCCTGGAACACAACCGAACCATAGCCAAACTTCTACAGTAATGATAAATACGGTAAGCTCTTGTTTAAAAAATTGATGTAAATCATTAAATGAAAAGTGAATTTCAAAACTGTTTTAGCATCCATCAACTCCAACAAGTGACGCTCAAAATGACTTGTTCGCTTTCACCGTAGATACGATGCTGAACGATCCTGCTTTTAATCTCGATGACTCACAATTCAAAGAGGATGCATTTAATAGTTTTTCCGATTCGCCCTAGAGTATGGAATAATGGGACAGAAATATACGCCATCTCAGATAAACTATCTATCCGTCTTATATGGCGATTAGGTGCAGTGATCAAGAAAATATTTAGCAGAATCATTCATTATCTATAGGAAACCATGAAGTTTCAATATCAAATACGCGAACACATTTTGCGTCTTTTACTCGCGACCATATCTGACACATATGAGAAAAAAAAGTTTCATGAACATTACAAGTGCCCACATATGCCATTTTTTTTCGCACGTATTTCAACACGTGTACACGCACTACTTCCCGATGCCCATGTGTATCCACGACTTCATTTCACAATACTTATGGATACTTACCATGAATGCTATTAAAATTTCTCCATAGGTGGTACTATACAAAAATTCACATTACTACTAAAAGCACTAAGAATAAATAGAAGAGCATATTAATAATGGTATATCACAACAGTCACTATGGTTACAAATATTGTAAAATGATAATTAGTGCAATGTACTCATTATATAAAAACGTTCAATCATGTATTTTAGATAATTGAAATATTTGTAACAAAGTTTTAGTTGTTTTTATTTTTATTTTTATTACAACTGACAGATAATGGATGTTAAAAACAGTCAATTTAAACTAAATATACATCTCTGATGGATATTATTATCAATTCTTTTGTAGACTTCTTTTTCAGTTTTCTTATAATACGTTCTTCATCTACCATGTACTGCTAGAACTTCAATGATATTTGGTATTGAATTACATTCAATTTTTTCTTATTAGGCTAGAATACATAAAATAAAGACTATAAATAAGCAAAAAAAGACAAATTCAAGACAAGTTCAACAGTTTGGTCATTGGACCAGTGTGATAAAAAGAAAACCATGTGCCTAAACGTAAAAAATTTTCTAATATCTAAAAAACGCAATACAACTAAAACTCTTTTTGATGTAAATTTAAAAAGAATTGTTATGTTAATTACTCAGCGTAAGTTCAACGCCCAATGATTTTAATTTTTGCTCATTTCTTCCATAGATTCCACGTAAATCATTATGATGTTTATCACGATCACAACCAATTGAAAAATTAGCTGTATGCATTCGATGCAAATGTGATATAACAGGTAGATAAACTGGATGATCACCATGTATTAAAAATCGTACGTATAAATCCAAATCTTCAGCCATTCCAATAGTTTCATCATACTCTCCAGCATCATCAAATAGTTTTTTACTATAACATACATTACCTAGAAAATGACGAGCAATACTAGTAAATAATAATTTCAAGAATAATGAACTAACCTTGGATAAAATGACAACTATCAAATATTGCTTGCAACATTTCTTTGCAATCTTTAAATACCCAACCATAATAATCTTCTTTTGGCATGTATTGTAAATGTTCATTAACTCTAAAAAACAAAAAAATAGTTGAAATAAGAACGGATATTTCCTGATCTATCAGTTAACAGTTTACCTAAGAAAATCAGATATAAAAAATTGTTTATTTTTATTTTCTCTAATGGCATGTGCAAAGTTATGAATACAACGTTGTAAAAATACATCATCATCATCCTGCAAAATATAAAAATCAACTGTTATCTACATCCGTTAAACGAGTTAGCAAAGTCAGAACCCACAAACACAATCATTGTTCAATATGATATATCATACTGTACATTTATATAATTATGATGTTAATCTCATCTAGAGTTAATGCATGTTTGTTTCAAACATGATGATGTATCTGACTTACCAAAACACAAATAAATTGTCCTCTTGTTTTTCTAATACAAATATTTCGAGCTTGTGATGGTGGCATTTTGTGTTCAGATCGAATAAATATGATATTATCAGCTAATTCACCTTTACCATCTTTTCGTTTATCTTCCGTCGCTTTAACCAATTGACGATTTTTCGTATCCGGTTTATTCGTACCGTCATCTTTTATGTAATAAATATTTTCTTTTGGCAAATTTTGTTCAAAATATTCTTTTGTTCCATCAGTTGATCCACAGTCGTGAATAACATGCTCAAATTCAATGGGTAATGGTGCTAATACTTGAACTTGAACACTCATTATGGCTACTTTTAAATATTCTAAACGATTATGTGATGGAGTAACAACGCTAATCATTAATTTCTCGTTCGACATATTTTATTTTTTGGTACAGTTATAAATAAAAGAAAAATAAATTATCAATCTGAAACTAAGATTCAATTTAGTGTAAAAACCAAATATCGAAAGATTTCTTCAAATAATACTACATAGCTTCAACAATACTTCATAGCTTTTGTACGACGTGAGTGCAAAAAAATACATTATAGTCCTGCTTTGAATAATCATATTTTTTTGTTTGATCAGACTATATTCTAGTTTCCCAATTTATTTTAGCCATGGAACCCTTTCATAAAATTTAAAACTTTGCGGAACCCCAGTAGTATTTTGAGATAATATTTGACAAAAATTATTTAAGACTACGTAATTTTTTTTACGTGGTGAAATTAATTTTTATCTTCTCGGCGGAACCCTTGGCTTCACTTCACGGAACCCCATTTGGGAAACGCTGTTCTAGTGTATGCCCATTCTCTTCTCTTGTGATGTAGAAAGTTTTAGTCCACTGACAGACTTATCATAGACCATCAGCTTTTTGTAGCTAGAAGCTGAATAACATTAGAGCCGTAGGAAATAAGCAATATTAACATTACTTATTTGCTATGGCTCTATCATTCCTACATTGCTTTACAAACCTTTTTTATGTAACTGCTTGTTACTAACATATTCTCTTTCTTTTACAAGTTCACAAAGTATATTCTTTCGAATGATTCTTTTTCTTGTAGACACCGTACACATATATATATATATATATAGCTATATGACTAAGTACACGTGAAAGTGCGGTATTTCACTCAATCTTTCTTTTTCTTTCCTTTTCAGCACTGTGAGAGTATCGAGTACAATAAGTCATTCGTTTTTCTTTCCCGTATTTCTTTCTAGTGCTTAGCTTCTTTACCACGCACATTCAACAGAAACCAGAAAAATATTTTTCCGAAAGAGAAAAGTCGAAATTGATATTTAGGTGCGTGTTCGCTCATCCGACAAGGGAACCTCTTGAGGTGGTAAATCGCTTTTCGACTGAGACTGTTCATAGTAAGCAGTGAAAAAGCCCAAGTTGGTTTGGATCCATGGTGCTTTGGAGTGAAGTTGGAAAATTTTCAAGTTTTTCCAAATACTCAATTTTGTCGATGGATCTTTGATTTCTCGGCCAAAAGAAATTCGATTGAGCTCATATTTTCATTGCGGCTAGTAGTCATAGTGACCATAAGGATCTGAATGTTTGAGCTTTACTACTCATCGACTCTTCGAGAAATTTCAAAATTTTTCCATTAAGCTGACGCTCTACGTAGGCGACTGCTTCGTGGTGAAAGCGAAAGTATTTTGACATATTTTTTTTGGGTAAAATCTCTGCTAATATAAGTTATTCATTATTTCACCTTGGTTCGCAAGAAGAACCACCATCTTTATTATAAAAATACATCAAAATAAACGTTCAAAAAATGTTCCTCGCAAGGTCCGCTCCTTGAAGAATTGCAGGACCTCCCGAGGATTCTCGTCCATCACCCACCTCTGCTACTTACCAGTATCAATGGGTGTCGTAGCTGACGAAGAAATGATCAAAACAGATCACCTTTTCGCAGTAGCTGCATCGAATGAACACAAAAGAGTCACATCCTGCCATATCTCAGTGTCTATGTTTGAACTTGAAACAAATATCGACCGCCTTTTGAAATTATCCAGGATGCGCATCGACGTAGCCACCCTTGAACCAGGCGTACCGAATCGTAGGGACGAAAATGGGAGCAAACAGTTGATTGTCAATGAGAGAGTGTAGACGGATAATATTATTTGTCTTCGATGGGATTTCCAGTCGACGAAGGTCTTTGATCTTTTCATAAATGCCCTTTCCATCACCTTGTCCAGACTACCTATCCGAGAGTAGAAGAGTCCGAGATGGAAAAGAAATCAAGAGTAGAAATGCATGATCACGCCAGTACATTCGTAAGTAAACAAATGTCATGTTTGTGTTTGAAATTCAGAACCCAGGCATCAGAAGCCACAAATTCAGGAAAAGACTTTGATCGTACTCGTTGTTGCGCCAATCGCTTCAGATCGAAGGTCGCGAGCGAGCTCGAAATTGTCATAGACAAAATCATCCACCGAATCCACGTTTTGCTTCTTGCTCTCTTCGACATAGAGATTGAAGCGAGACAATTAGTACTGGTATAGAATTTGTTTAAACTGGTGTTTCACGTTCTTCTCTGTTTTCTTTTCCCAGTCTTTGGATCAATATCATCATAATAATTAATGATCCGCTTCATATAACAAAATGAGAAGTTCTCAAAAACGAACGTTTCCAGGTCTTTTTCTTCATAGTACCGGATTGTCTGGATCTTCTTCACAATCGTCAATCTTTGTATCGAGAGTGCTATGGTCGAATGTCATCTCGTATTCGAGAGAGTACGAGCCACTTGTCAAAATAGATTCGAGAACATTGAACAAGTACGGTCAAAGAAAGAAAAAATTTCACCTGGCAACCAGATAAGTAATTTTTTCTTTCTTTGTCCGTTCTAGTTATCGGTCTACATGCATGTATCTTGACTACCCAAGAAAATTAAACATGCTTCACAAGAGAAAATTTTGTATCTTCCGTAAGGGTTCAGATCCTTATGGTCACTATGACTACTAGCCGCAATGAAAATATGAGCTCAATCGAATTTCTTTTGGCCGAGAAATCAAAGATCCATCGACAAAATTGAGTATTTGGAAAAACTTGAAAATTTTCCAACTTCACTCCAAAGCACCATGGATCCAAACCACCTTGGGCTTTTTCACTGCTCACTATGAATAGTCTCAGTCGAAAAGCGATTTACCAGCTCGAGAGGTTCCTCATGAGTTATAAAAATAACTAATTGAGTTTTGCATAGTAACTCGAAAACAAAGTTTTTGGACTGGGAAACCTACAAAACTTATGAGAGTTACGTTTCGAGAGATCGTTTTTTTTGTGTACTTATTGTCTCATTATTGTAAGTATATCTGTGATCTACCTGTGAACTATCCGAATTCCAAAATTGATACATAGGTTTAAAATAAAATCTGTTCACAAAAGCCGCCTGTATAACTGGTGAAAAACTGGGGCTTTAGACAACACTTATTCAATAGTAAATGCGGGAAAAATACGCTGTCTTATCGTGAAAATGCCACTATCAAAGTTGGCTGTCCTTTGAGCATTCATGCTAGGCATTACTAAAGCTAATCACTAGAATTTTGCTAGTTTTTAAAGTTTTTGTTTCTCTATCAAGGTAAGTGATCATAAAAGCCTATGGTGAAATTCCACGGACGGTTAATTCTCGCAACGAAATGATCGAAGCAGAGTGCAAGGATGTTTTTCTGTTCGTGAGTACTGGCCACATGTGTTACTGCTATAGCCGCCATCGTTTTTACCGTTTCTGAAATTCCCACGTTTGTTAATGAATTTAACAAACTACGGTGAACAGGCTCTAGTTCTAATGCAACTATTTTTTCACACTTCCGGTGCTTTTAATATCTCTTACCTTTCCACATTCTGCGGGTCAGTCTACAGGCCCAGTCGTTCCGAAAAATTTACGCTACTTCTACGGGACTGACCGAATCAGGTCAAAAGTTTTGCATCCGCATACGAGCAGGGTCGAAAAGAAATGGCTTCAGACGATCTCTAGAACAGATTTTGTTCTGAACATGTCTTGATTTTGGGATTAGGATAGTTCACAGGTAGATCACAAATATGCTCGCAATAACGATACAATAAGTACGCCAAAAAACCGATGTGTTTTCGTGAAAAGTTATATAATTCAATTTCTCCGACTCTCCTGACAAATAAAATGTTGTAAGTTTCATATAAGTTTCCTCAGTCCAAAAACTTTATTTTCAAGTTACTATACAAAGCCGAAATGGTTATTTTCACTCAGATGAACACACCTAAATATCAATTTCGATTTTTTTTCTCGTGGAAATATTGTTCTGGTCTCGTGCCGTCTTGTATCGGATCAGAGGGCATTGTGAATCTGCATGCTAAAGTAATAAGCAAAAGCAAGAAATATGAGAAAGAAAAACGAATAACTTATTTCGCTCAACTCTAATGTTCATGATAAGATATAGATAGGTCTCTCTTATTTTTTTCCAAACCTATCACATTCTTTCGTTTCTTCTGTGTCTACCATTGTAAAACTACCATATGCGGTAGTTAACAATATAAACGATTCGCGTTTATATTGTTATCATCTCGTTTACGATTATTATCTCGCTAACAATATCAACGATTCGCCCTCTAGTTGAACAGAAATGGAACAAATTGTATTTATAGTTAAGTGGCCAAAATTTTATAAAAATAAACCAAGCTTAACCTTATTATGAAGGCGATCAAGACAATATTACTGCGCTTAAGAACGATTTAAATGCAGAGTGCATATACTACTAGTAACAACTAATTAAGCAGACGAATATCTGATTTCGACTTTAACTGCGGATAAAACGATTTTTCTTCGCCTTTTGTTCAGATACCCTATCACGATAAAATCGGATTAGAACGAACGGTGAGAGATGCAGTCATAAATATTTTTTGTAGGAGAGGTAATAAGAAGTTTGTCAGAAGTATTATGAAATGACTATTTTTTATAAAATACTTCTACTCTTTTGCTCATCACTTTTGCGAGGAGAGTGCGGAAGGCTCTGAGATGGCAGGTAGCTCCAGCAGAATACCTAGGAGAAGTAATCGTCCTTAACACCCCTTCTAAATCCGCCAGTGGAAAGATATTTCTTTTTCGCAATGCAGTCTTCATTAGCGGCTGCTTAACTGCAATTCTCATGCGCTGATGATGAATATATTTCGTTCAATTGTTTATACTCTTCCATCCAACAAAATGTATCACAAATGAAAGCAAATAAAAAAAACTGATAAACAAAATAATATAAAAAAAACTAGATGTACAACAGAAGAGATCTCATGTCTCGATCATTTTACGTTCAATTTGTCTGAAAACCGCAGCTACATGATTCTCTTATCTTCAAAAAAAATTCACAGTTATAAAGTTTTTAAGAGCTTTTGTAGAGATCAAATGCAAAAACTAGGGTTTGAACAAATTGTTCAGCTTTTTGAACATTACTGCATCATAAATGAGCTTAAACTTATAATACAAGTTACATATATGAGATACCAGGAAACTGACAATGGAACGGTTTGTACTGTCAAGCCGCTTTCAAGTTCAGAGCATGTGTATTAGATAGACCCCGGTGAGGCATAAAAAAACCCAAAAGGCTATGTGCTGATGGGCCTTCCCTCCAGAGTTACAGTCATTATACTGGAATTTTAGCCTATTGCGTGGTATCTATCAAAAACACTAATCACGATATTTCGACCTGAAATTTTGCCCACAAGTAGGCCTACTTGTAACTAGAATGTTCTGTAAATTTCAGTTCAAAAGAATGTTCCCTTCATAAGATATTGAGTTTCCCAAAAACCTGACATTCTCGAATCTTTTCGTAGAACATGGGTGATTTTGGAAATTCAATATCTCAAGAAGGGAACATTCTTTTGAACTGAAATTTGCAGAACATTCTATTTACAAGTAGGCCTACTTGTGAGTAAAATTTCAGGTCGAAATATCGTGATTAGTGGTTTTGGTAGATACCATGCAATAGGCTAAAATTCCAGTATAATGACTGTAACTCTGGAGGGAAGGCCCATCAGCACATAGCCTTTTGGGTTTTTTTATGCCTCACCGGGGTCTATCTAATACACATGCTCTGAACTTGAAAGCGGCTTGACAGTACAAACCGTTCCATTGTGAGGTTATCTCCAACCGCATATAGCGATTCCATGCACTTTTACTCCAGGATTATCATTTGATATTAATCTTGACTGAAGGTTAATAGGGGCAAAAAGAACATTAGTATAATCATACCAAAAAAGAAGAAAACGTTAATCGGAAAGTAATCAATCCATACCAGTGAAAAAAGTTTTATCTCATCGTTTTATCGATCAATACAGTCAGATGTATAAAATAATATAATAAAACTTTTGACATTGCTATATGAACGAGAATTTCAAAACCAAAAAACTGACAACATTAATCTTTGTCTGTAGTCACGAATATAACCACCCCTCGTAAAATTGTATACATGAGTTTGTAGAGCAGACATTTTTCTCACATATAAACCCAAACTGGTCACACCGGTTTGTTCGTTTTTGAGAAAAATAAAAAAATACTGATCCAAGTACAAGCATAGAACTGTTCTCTAATATGAACTCATCTAGTTTCTGAACGATCCCATACGGAAACTTGAAATTCTTAGTGTTTTCTAGAGTCTCTTAAACTGGATTCTGATAATAAAAATATTAACCAACATCTGTTCATAACAAAAACATTACTAAGATTCACGGAGAAAGAGCATAGTTAAGTAAGTGCTTGATCACAGATGGAAAAAAACCGTACATAATGAACACACATAGCCAAATAAAAAAAACAAAATGGATTGTTTTTCATCAACTCGATTAATCTCAGACGTACCACATAGTATCCTGGATTGATGGGTCTAATTGAATCACTTTTGTTTGAACTTCTTCCAGTGTAATATTACTGTCAATTATGTCGTCATCCTCATAGTCACTAACAAGAATTAAGTGCAATTATTGTATAATACTGGCTGATTAGAAACAAATATACATACCCGTTGATACTGCTTCGACGATCGTCTTGATAATCCAAATCCCGTGAATGATATGCAGCCAAATGTGCATAATGTGCTGGTGCTAAAATATGATACACAAACTTCTAAATTGCCCTGAAAAGAATAGTTTTTTTACTAACCAGGTATTGACACAGCTTTTGTACAACGTACATCAGCATGACATAAATAATATGTAAGCTGTTGAATTTCATCACTCGTGAAACCAATTTCATCATATAAAACATGATATAGAACTGGATGACTAGTTCCCATGATGGCAGCATGTGAATTTAAATAAAAATCGAAGAGAGAAGGATGGACGATGTGAGTATCAACAACAGTTCCTGGAGAAAAAAAAGTTACTTCGATCTTTTTAGCATCTTTTACTATTAGTCTTACCAGCTTGAACATTACTAGTTGTATTTTGATGTTGATCATAAACAAAAAAACGAGTATTATGACGTTTTTTCACCACGAGAAATGTAATTTTCGGTTGTGGGTTATCCAAATATAAAGCTTAAAAAAATAACTACTTTTTTTTCCATTGGTCAAATGAAACAGGCAAATGTTACCTTTGCAAGCGTTTTTCAATGCACGAATTTCATTATCCATAACTTTTTGATAAGCTAGAAAAGTGACGATAGGTTAGATAATTGAAACTAAATGCGAGATGAATTACTCACATCCATCATCGACTCCATCTCGATAAAATACAATTTTATTGGGTAAACAACCATTAGATGAAGCGAATAGTTTCAATAAATCTGTTGACATATTGAACAAGTCCATAATAATTTCGAGGGATATTCGACCTTTCGGTGGATACTGTTCTGTCATTCTAGAGGCATACTGCGTTGACGTTGAATCCCGACTACCGACAACACAAGCAATCGATGGACGATCTCTTGAACAAGTTGTATGAGTGACATCAGCACCTATTCGTGTAAGAAAAACGAAAGATGTATATGACATTTATCTAGTACATTTGAAGTTTCACTTACCAAAAAACATAAAAACATCGTCTTTTTTTGATGCTGATGTTAATGCACGCGTTAATGAAATCAAACCATTGACACCACCTAACTTTGCATTGAATTTTTGTACCAAATTTTGTAAATACATATCAAGTTTCATGATATTTTTTTGTATGGCCGAATAATCTGTACATTGTGTTATAATTCCAAGTTTTTGATTTCCAAAATATTTAATACCTTGATAAACACAGTTCATAACAACATGAGTAATCGTTTTACAGTAAGAACTAAACTAAATATCTTACATTTATAAATATCTTCACCAACTCCATTTAAAATAAACAATACAACTTCACATTTCTCTTGTTTCAACTCTTCTAACCTTCTAAGGATGATATTCGGCACAGCGGGATCGGATTTTTGTATGGGAGCTGAGGAAAAATAAATACCAAAACGTCCAATTATCTGAAAAATATGAAATTCTTCCAATTTCATAAGTCAAATACGTAATATTTAACTACAGAATATTTGGAAACGTTCTCTCGATAATAATTTTATGTCAGAGTCAGGCCACAAAACATACTTCAGGAAATCGTGCAGCAAATTGTGATGCAACATCGATTTCACGATTGCTCGGTTCACGCGATGAAACTAATACACATGCCCATTTTTTTATTTCTCTTGTTGTATGTAGACGATTTCGAAGATTCCATTTTCCAATACTAACACGTTCAATCACATCTGAATTATCTCGATTTGATTTATACCTAAAAACATAAAAACCAATGATATGCTCGTTAACAAATAAAAAAGGTGAATATAAATAAATACCATATTTCAGGTGGTGGTAGAATACGTCCTGGTATAATGATCATGTCTTTGTCTTCAACAGTCATGCCGATTTGTTTCAAATAAGTATCATCGTTAAATTTTCGATCATAAACTACTCGCATTATGGTATCGTAACGCTGTTCAGGTTTCACAACAGTTTTTTTTGTTACCTGTTAAAAAAAGAGGAATGAGAGAGTACAATACTACTATAAAATATTGCCATAATTTTACTCTTGCTCGTTGATCCGCCGTTAGAGGTTTTATTGAACGTTGCCATTCTTGTATAGTACACACTTCCATTGGAAGATGATGAGATAGAGACTTATTACCAGGTGTATATAATTCTACTGTGGGTAAATCTGGATAACGTAATTTTCTATCATATTTTTCACGAAAATATTCTGTTACGCTTGTCCGATCACCATCCTCATTGCCCTGATCATTTTCTACTTGTTTTGGAAATGTATGACGATTCGATGATAAACCAAAGCCACGAACTTTGCATAAAATTTAAATATCATTAAGAAAAATTTTATCTAGTTTTTAATTCACCTTACTTCGATATTTTCGTACTTGCCCGGTGTGATTTGTTTCAAGCCATATTGATTTTAGTACTTTTTTCAATAATAATTGTTGTTCACGTTCTGGAATTCCACGAGTAATATCTGTCTGTAAATAGTCACATAAGAAATCAACTAAATTCATTGAATGATAAAAACACGTAAATGTATTGTTAATATTTAGTGTAACACCGACTTTTGTTAAAAACATGGCTTGATAAAAACCGTATCCTATGCCACGACCATCACCTTAAATGTAAAATACTTATGTAGCATTTAATTATAAATTAATATACTACTACTCTACGAGAAAAATGTACTACAGTCACAACTTTTGTCTTCTCATCGTTGAGAAATAGGAAATAATATCTTCTCTATGGAAACGAGAAGAAAATTCTATTTTAGTTGCTCTCGTACCTAAATCATCTAATTTTTGATTGCGGTCATAAAACTGATTTTTCACACAAACCATTGTTGATCGAGTATGTTGTTTGAGTAATGTTTCCAAAACACGAACTGAATCACGTGGACGAATTGATATATTTTTGGTCGGATCGAAAAAGTCCCATATTTCTTGTATTGAATAAGTTTTAACGAGATTAATCAATAAAAATCGATATTTACTTTCGTTGTCAGTATTTTTATGTTTTACTTTCATTTCATATTGTTTTTGAAATCCGGATAAATCTTCAGTTGAATACAAATTTTTTCCGTCGTCATACCAAACAAAGGGAAATTTCTCACGCTCAATTATTTTTTTCATTACTAAAAAGCAAATAACGGTTAAAGAAGTATAAAATTAGTTTTATTTTCACTAACACCCACCTAGAAAACGATCGTCTTTTTTCGCAGGTCTCCATGTTCCGTCACGATTTTGTATTACAACATCAACATCGTATTGCTTTACAATTAATTCTTTTGGTATTGCACATTTGAAATGGTTTGTGTGAAAATCAACTTTTCGACCGGCTGATCCTCCAGAATCTGGTCTTAAGACTAATGTGTATATTTTTGAGTCGGGAACAGGTGAACGTGCTTCAATCGGACGACATGACTTTGGCCGAGTGACGCTTGATCGTGATGGAGAATAGCGTTTTTCTCCTATTTTAGGTATTATTGATGGTTGTGTTCCGTTCTCTTCTTGTATAATTTTTTTCCCTCCTACAGCTGCTGATTGTGCACGACGATATAATTGATTAGATGGACCATTATTTTGACCACTTGATCTACCTAGAAAACATAAGAAAAAGACTTTTATTAATTAAAAACATTAAAAAAAGAAAAACGAGCACTAAATTAATAAGCATAATTCTCTAATATAGCAATAATTAATCAACAAAATGAATTAGCATTTTATAACCGTCACTTATCAGTTACATCGAGATTCTAGAGTGCTATGCTTATACTTCCAAGACTAAAAACTTGTTATACTAACTCATAGTAACTCATGCGAATATATCATGAATACTAAAAAGTCTGTTATCAATTTCGAGAAAATGGCGGCACATGCAAACTAATCTTTCATAGAATATAAACAGAAATGTATTTAACCTCTCCGAGGAAAGCTAACGTACTAGTCAGCAAGTAGAAAAGAATAAAAATAAAAATAAAATAAACGTCAAATGAGGAGTTTTACTTTTTTTTGACGGTTGATTGTCTGACTCCTCCTCTTCTAAATACAATGAAAAGCGTTAAAGATTTAAAAATTAAAACAAATTTTGTTCAATAGGAAAATTTTGTTCAATAGGTTACAAACTTATGTTATAATTAATGTGGTGCGAAGCATACCGCATTATAGTAATAAACTGCATGTTTATTTTCTACGGTATAAAAAAATGCCATTTTCTGTAACGATTTTCTCGTAAACTAGAAGGGCTACCGTAAAATTTTAAACGGGAGCTGTGAGGCTGAATTAGTGAATGTCCTCTTTTGAGACTTTGTGGTTAATTCAGTCATTAATCAAAAGGCTTGAAAGAAGATGTTTTGAACGTTTCGGACTTGTAGTTTTTGAAAAAAAACGGATAATTAATCGTTATTTTATATTTTAACTCTAATAAGGTAACTGGGCGTGTGTGTGCTCGAAAACAGAAAACTTAGAGACTATAGCTAACAATCCCTTGACTGCGATCGTTTTTTTCTATTCATTTATATAAATAAATCACAACTAACTCAAAGTTTTTGACTATTATGGTAGAAGCTGCATTAAAAGTCTTTAAATACACACAGCTTTCAAACAGTTTTTGAGCAAGCTTTCCTCTAAAACTTGTTTACTTAGATACTGAACACTAGGATAGATTGATCGAGTAAAAGCTTGTTTGTGATGCTGAGTAAATAAAAGTAGAATGAAAATGAAGAGGACGCAAAAGTTAATTGTCTTTTACTTATTTTGTCTAGTAATTAAAAGATCCTTAGTAATGAAGGAATCTAATAAGAGTAATTTCAGTCTGTGAGATGTAGATAAGCGTAAACAGCAACAGCATAAAAGAGACACACAAATATGTATAACGGAAAAACATTACCTAGTAATCTCCCACGGCCACGGGGAGCTTGAGACATCATCTAATTAAAGAAAATTAACAAAGATTTAGTGTAATTGTTTGTAGTTGCGATATACGCTTCTAATCTTTAAGATGTTATCAGATGAAACTAATACAGACAGGCTATTATCTGAAAAGTAAAAGAGAGAAAGAGAAACATATCAAACCTTATACCGAAAATTGTGTTTATGTGTATATAAATAAAAATACACGTTCATTCTATATTTCAAAAACAGGAAAAACAATGAAAAACTACCTATATTTATTTTGAGAAAAATTTGTCAAGAAACCGTATAAAAAGTCTTTTCTATTCTGTTTTTCTACACGTGGTAGCACAAGCCACTGAAGAAAGCAAAATTGTCATCATCGGCGTACACTATAGACTGTAGTAAACGATTGTTTTACTAGAAAACCAGGTACTTTATCGACTTATTTTAATCTGAGATGTTTGATACAGATACGATTATAATAGTTTTTCTTCTATTTTGTGAGATAATTAGCAGAGTGATGCTTAAATAGATAGTTGTATTCAAGATTCATATAACATTAATCAACATTTTAATCCGATAGTGTTACTCATGTGTAGCAAAAACAATCAATCAAATTTCAACTATCGACTATGTATTAGACTTACTGTGTCCTCACCTCCAGTATACTAAAAAATTAAAAGACTGATGTTTTTTAGGAAAATTCAGTCAAAATATGTGCTGCATACGGAGTAAAATCAATCCACTAAATATTAGTGTTTAATATGAACTAAGCACACTCACTGCTGAAATAATTTACGTCCGATTTGTTATTTATCTGCCACGTGGAAGTCTCGCCATAATATCAACCACTGTCAATTGCTTTTTTATTAGGCTTATATCAGCAAGTCACTTTAATGCCTAGCCACATCACGCCAGTTGTTTATAGAGTTTGATCACGTCATGTTGAACGAGCAAAAGTCACGTTAGGAATAAGCTAAAATAAGAATAGCTAGGTCAATGAAAACTGACATTTAATAATTGATACATAGTCTGTTAACTCTATAGCGAAAAAATTGATTTATCATCGGCTAAACTATTAAAAAAGTTTCGATCACTTGTCGCGAGAAAGTAGTCTCCATTTCTGGGACTGATACCAGTGATGGTACCATGGTCCTAAGGAACAAAAAATATTGCAATGTGTGAATTTTGTCTTTGTGAGGTTACTAGCCAGATAAAAAACTGACCTTGGAAAATGCTCAAACAATGGGTTACTAGCAGTTCCTAATGGTGCAATAATAGTCTTAAAAGGAGCATCACAAAATGTCCATGTTTTAATCGTAATAAAACTGCCACTTTTAGGCATTAAAATATTCTCAGTTTGAATACATAAAAACCGTCCAAAAATTGCTTCAATGATCTAAAAATGTCCGTTTAAAAAGCATTGGATGGGTTATCAATGCGCGTTTAATAGAAAATTGTTCACACCATTTTTGACTGAGAATGATTAATTGGTATCAATGTTCCTCACATAACAACTGGCGACCAGCATTTCTAATGATTGGTGGGACAGATGTGGGCACCGGTTAAGGGAATCTAACCACTTGAGAGGTATAGCAGAATTCATGACAAAGGCGCATAGTTCAGTTCAGCTCAGTTTATTTACAAACAGTCATGAGCACATAGTAGCACAGGTTGAAGAAAGAAAAACATGGTTAATACAGAAGTGTAAGGTGAGTGACATATTCTGCCGCGCACTCATATAAAGTAAGATGAGAAAGAAGGAAGTGAATGGTTGGAAGGAAAGACAAATATTACTATAACAACTAAACTTATACCAGCCTGTCTATACAAATAAACAACAGGGTACTTCGATTTAAATGCGCCCATCACTACATGACATAAAATCCGCAAAAATGTCAATACTCTTTTCGTGTAGAGCATACAAAGTTACATAGAATTCCATATTTGTTCGCCAAAAAAGTCATATGCTATATGCCCTTTTTCGGGATGTCAAGTTTTGACCTACCTTGCAACAAATTAACTTTGATCTTATTTTTCTCAACATTCATAGAGTCAACATCGACCTTTAATATACCATATGAAGGAGCAGTTCGAGTAGTATAAGTTCTAATTCTCAAAACTCGTCCTACTACTTTTACAAGGGGCGGCCAGCTGTCGCAAAATGACCAAAAATGAGAAAACGGCATTCAGTATTTTACCTCTTCTAAACGCAAACAAAACGAAAAGTTCTTTTATTATAAATGAAAATGAAGCTGAAAAGTTGCCTAATCTGATGAAAAAAGAATTAACTCAATACCTACCTTCCTCTTTGAGTACGAAGCCCATCTTTGAAGGCCGTTTTCTAAGAATAGCCAACTTTCAGGCCTCACGGCACAAAAAGTGTTCAGTGAAAGTTTTTCATTTTACTCTCATTTGTAGTAGTCATTGAGCCCTACAAAATGAATGAAATGAAAGGTTTTTTTGGTCCGATTCGCTTCCATCCTCGTTTACCTATGACAAAAGTCAAAAATAACGATCACAGTCTTCATGTTTTCGCGTGCTTTTTTACTCTGTTCTTAAACTTTAGTCCAGGCGAAATAGTTGTTACTGCGCAATCCACCTTATTTTTAACTAAATTTATACAAAATTGGTCATGCTAAATTATCGTCAGGGATGCTTTTCTCGCAACGAAAATCCGGATTCTCATTGCACAAGAGTAGACCAATCAAATTTTTAGCAAGTAGCGTTCCATAAACAGTTTCTTTCCTAAGACCAATTTCTTGATACGTACGTTGCCTGTACATGCACGAACACAGGCACGTCTCATACATTTTCAGACATGCAACTTGCAAGCCGAATGTATGTACAGATGTATGTGAATCAAGAGACATGCATTAATGTTGCATGCCCGAGGTGGATACTGTGAATCACGCAGATTATTTGTTTTATCTAACAGTCATTGGCGAAAAAGCCTTCCGTTCGTGTATTCTTAGATGTAAACATTCAGCCTATAATAAGTGATACATATAGAATATGCTGTAGAGGTCGTTGTCATCTGATGATACACAGCCACAGAAAAAATAATGGAAGAGATATTTTTTCTTAACTAGATGTCTGCAGAATAAACATTAGATCAGCAGGGATATTCAGAAATGAAAAGCAGTAAATTAGTGAATTTAACTTTCAGTTTTCATTTTTTATTTAGTGTTAATTACTTCAGTACCACACTGACAAAGACATATATGGCTCTGGCTCGACACTTCTCACACGAGAGGGAAAAGCATCAAGTCGAAAACTTTGAAAATATCTTAAGTAAACTGTAATGTTTATATAACTACTACGCTGACAAAACAAAATGGTGAATAGAAAAATGAGAGAACAGAATGCATTCTGCCTGCTCAAACAATGCATGCGGCTTGAAGCACAGACAAAATTCATGTCTGTGGCTATCAAGCAGCATGCCTGGAGCGTGCACGTATACACAGACGTCAATCACGTCTCTGACTCGATTCTTGCATGCCTGTGTAATGCATCAGGTGGATACTGTGAATCAAGCATGCCCGAATTGTAAAAATGGACTGGTCTTGGGTTCTACCGTTGTCTGCGTTTAGCCACAAATAACTGCCACTAATAGTGGCTAAAAGCAGGATTGGTAAAAACTTTGCCACAGATAAGAAAATGTGTGAATCTTACTTTCCCATTGGTGAATACCAAACAAAAGAAAAGAAGTATAAACGATATCACAGAAGTATGTTTCTTGCTCAGAGAGGTATTCTTTTAGCAGGTGTTCCCTCTAAATACGTGGTGACATCACAGCTGGTGTTCCCCCACTACTGCTATAAATAGTACGGTAACATTACAAGTGGTGTTCCCCATACAGCTATAGTGTTTCCCGTAGTATTATTATAGCTGGTGTTCCCCATATCCGTTTAGTGTTCCCTTAATAGCAGAAGATCGAGTAAAAAGTGTAGTTCAATGTTTTAATCACAAAAAGAAGGAAAAAGAAAATCATGAAGTGAATAATAATGTCGATCGTTTTATTATCGTTTTATTATTCATTACGGTCGACATTATTATTCACTTCATGATTTTCTTTTTCCTTCTTTTTGCGATTAAAACATTGAACTACACTTTTTACTCGATCTTGTGCTATTAAGGGAACACTAAACGGATATGGGGAACACCAGCTATAATGATACTACGGGAAACACTATAGCTGTATGGGGAACACCAGCTGTAATGTCACCACGTATTTAGAGGGAACACCTGCTAAAAGAATACCTCTCTGAGCAAGAAACATACTTCTGTGATATCGTTTATACTTCTTTTCTTTTGTTTGGTATTCACCAATGGGGAAAGTAAGATTCACACATTTTCTTATCTATGGCAAAGTTTTTAAAGTATAATTTTTTCGTAAAAATCGAAAAAAATTATAAAAAAGAAAATGAAAAAAACAACACGAAACAAAATAGAAATAAAAACATCACATACGAAATTGTCGAATATCCGCTATAATTGAGGGAAGCATGTCCTTGTGGACTGAGCGGTACCAGAACTCGTTTAAGTGGCGATCTAATAACGTTGAGCCACGCATTGTTCTTAGTATTTTCGTTTTTGCTTGACCCCATAAACACTCAATTAACTGTGTGTGGCAACGAGTGGGTGGGTCAACAAAATTTTGACTATGGTTCACCTGTAATTGAGCTTAATGTTTATCAAGTCTTTCAGGTATGATGATCGATTTACTTACTGTTTGGTGATCATATCCGTACTGCGTTTGTAGATTCTTGTAGGCAGCCCATTCATCTGACCATACGGTTGTTCCAGGTACAACATGTTTCCATATAACTGGAATTAATGTTTGACGATCACGACATTGTACATGGAAAAACCGTACCTCGTGTCCATCTTCCGTCGGTTGAACGATATCAAATATCCACGGCCCTTAAATAATGAAGCTTGTTAGTTGAGACTAGATCAGATGGAATCACTTACTATCCATACGTCTTCCATAATTACGATTATTTGTTTGTTGCTGAGTGCCATCGCTATCCTCACTACTAGATGCGTATGGTACCAGTCCATTTGTTGCGTTGTTGTTCCCATTATTATTTTGATTACCAAGTAAAAGTCGTCCACGATTGTATTTTCGCTTACCACGGAAAAGTGATTCGTCAATCTGGACAACTTCCCCAATCCCTCCCATTTGTGGAGCCATATTAAGTTTTTCTGTACATACCTGAAATAATTAAACAATCTATATTATCGTAAAATAGTTCATACAGTAGCACTTACTTCTCGTAAAAAGTTGGACCAGTCAACAACTGTTGATCCGCTGCATCCAACAGTCCATGATATTGTTTTCGACGATATATCTTTTTCAGGTATATCTAACTTACCTTTCATAGTCTTTGTAATAATAAGATTCCGCATCTGATCATTTCGACTTATCGAAATAAGCTTAGCGGCTTTCTTGTTTGATTTGCAATGTGATTATCACATTAAGAACAATTAAAAATAACGCTCGACATATCTTCTTTCTCATAAAATGATTATTATTCACTTCATGACTTTTTTTTTCCTTATTTTTGCGATTAAAACATTGAACTACACTTTTTACTCGATCTTCTGCTATTAAGGGAACACTAAACGGATATGGGGAACACCAGCTATAATGATACTACGGGAAACACTATAGCTGTATGGGGAACACCACTTGTAATGTTACCGTACTATTTATAGCAGTAGTGGGGGAACACCATAGCTGTATGGGGAACACCAGCTGTAATGTCACCTTTTATATAGTTAGATTCAGATTTAGATCATGAATATAAAATTTATTTTGAATAACAAAGCTATGGTAAATAAAAAATCAAGTTTTTTATGTTTACCTTTCTAGGGTCTGTTACTCAAAACATCTTAAGTGCGGCCTGTTTCTTGAAAAAACTTATAATTTATAATTTTACTTAAGTAAACAGGAAATTATACTTAAGTGTTTTTGAGAAACTCACTTAAGTAAAATATTTTACTTAAGTGAAATTTTCCACTTAAGTAAAACTTCAGTTTTTTTGAGAAACAGGCCCCTGAACTATATTTAAAAAAGACAATTTTTTCTCTTCTTTTGCTATACAGTGAGAGTGCCCACGTGATGTCAGGTGCTTCCTATGTAATCGTTTGCGTTCGAAAAAACGCGTTTGAACGCTGTTTTGGGCGTTTAAATCTACGTTTAAACGCGTTTTGTAAAAACCTGCGTTTGAGTCGAACAAGTTTAAACGCCCTCATGTGTGAGGAGCGTTTGAACGTTTTTTTCATGAATTCTTGTTAAGCGTTTGAAGGCGTTTAAACGCCGATGGTATTTAATACTCTGAACGCGTTTAATTTTTTGAACGCGTTTTAAGGCGTTTCGTTTTGATTAGGCGTTTGAACGCTGTTCTGAAACAAGTTACAACGGCGTTTGAGAGCGTTCCTATTATTAAACGCCTCTGCACGCTGTAGATATTTGATACTCTGAACGCGTTCGAATTATTGTTATGTATGTACTTATTATTATTATGTGATTATTGTTATGTATTGTTATTGTATTAATTCGAACGCGTTTTAAGCCGTTTTGGTTTCAACAGACGTTTGAACGCTGTTTTGAAAAGGTTACAACAGCGTCTGAAAGCCTTCCTATTATTAAACGTCTCGGCACGCTGTAGATATCTGATACTCCGAACGTATTCGAGGCATCCTAATTTGAACAGACGCTTGAACGCAGTTTTGAAAAAGGTCCAGACATCGTTCAAAGCCGTTTATGTTATTGAACAGGTTGCATTTTTATTTTACTACTAACTCTCTCTAAATAAATGAATACCTTACTTTTGAGACATACAAAAGCACAAGTCTTCAACTAGAGAGAGAGATGATATTCAAGGTCATGAGAATAGTAAAATGCTAATGGCTGGCTATTCATCCATATTACACAAAGAGTATAAAACTGTGCCTGATACTCGGAAGAACAATCACTGAATGTAACACTACTAGTCATATTCGAGAGTGAATATGCACCTTGCCATTCTCCCTCCTTTATGTTTCAGAGACTCTCTTCATGTAAGAGAGACCAAGGATTAGAGACCTACACGGGTGAAGAAAACCTAACCCGAACCCGACCCGACCCGATGAAAACAATCTCACCAGATAACTGTGTTTGAAAAAAAATATAGACTTGTCTTGTTAGACAAAAGTTTTTCGGTGCATTTTGTAGAATCTAGTTCAAAAAAAATTTTTTGAACGACTTCTGGTTGGTCATTTTGTCTAAAAGGTTAATCTATTGAAAATTCCTCAGTGCACTTTGTCAATAGATTATCTTAACCGAGATGATGACCACATTCTTTTTCTCATTGGTCAGTCATTATCACGTCATACTAAGATAGCAAGTAGAGAGCATTATAGTAAAGTCTTCTATGTACGGGTGTTTAAAACAGTACATTGAAAAA